ATGCTGACACATAAGCCTCCTGTCCATAACCAAACTTTGTGCTTTATTCTGAATTTTACCATTTAAATGTTTATCTTCATGGTTACAACCCTTGAAATGAAGATAGCTTTTTTCCCCCTTTAAAGTCAGAATTAGCGTTGTGTTTGTGTCATTTGTGCTGGTACACCACTGTCGTGTGCCTTGACAAATGTTCGATACCTACTGCAGCAGCTAGCTGCCTGTTCATTTCTATTGAAACATTTCCAAAAACCAAAAGATAACAAAAAACACAGTAAACCGGACGCCGAAGACGTCTGCGATACTCTCTCACTCACATTGTGTGCCGCTATCCTTCGACACCACAAATTCACAACTTATTTTTAAAAAAAGTCACCCTCAAGGGAATAACGAGTTATTAATTAGTAGCCATCCGTAATTTATCAACAAATTCCCCAGGAGTTTTGCATCGGAGGTAATGCGAAAATTGAATCTCGATGGGCGCTGCTGTGGTTACACACTTAAAGGCCATTGATTGACTAATTGCCTTTGTACAAAATATTCCCAACTGGCCTCTGTTTGGCGAGCAGCTGCATTCTACTTCGGGGATCCGATCTTCAACGCCCCTGAGGCCCCCCTGCGATGCAGCCTTAAAGTGTGTTGTGCACTTCTCTGTGGGTGTAAGTCGTCAACATGTACGGAAAAAACCTAAGAATATGTACGGTGTGTTTATGTAGACACGAGCCTTTTGCCCGTCCAAGGACGGGTGTATTGCAGTAACATCTGAAACTTGCAAGCGAAAAGCATTGCATCAATGCGTGTGCAATTTGCTAGGGCGCGGTGACACAGACTTATTTCATTTTAAGGTTATAATCCCCTGTTCATCATGACGTCATTTTTACTCTGATGTCTCAACAGCGTTACGGAGATCACGTGACGTGAGGGTTCTGCCTTTGTAGTGAGGGTTGTGAGTTGACCCCGAGGAGGGGGGAGGAGGCGCCTCGCCCCCCCATGTGGAGTGACGTCACCCGCTAATTATTAATAATGGAGGGGGGGGGGGTGTCTATTTGGTAGACGTCAGCTCTTCATGATTATTAATGTGGGGGGCTGTTCGATGTGGAATTACGTCGCCTGCTCATGAATATTAATGAAGGGGGAGGGTGCTCCATGTTGAGTGACGTCACCTGCTCAGGAGTATTAATGAGGGAGGGGGGGTCCATGTGGAGGATGTAACCTGTTCATGAGTATTAATGAGGGGGGCTGGTCAATGTGGAGTGACGTCACGAGCGATGCACACAGGCATTCTTGGCTCATAGTGGGTACTAATAATGGAGGGGGGGGGGTGTCTATTTGGAAGACGTCACCTGCTCATGATTATTCATGAGGCGGGGTGGAGGGGTGTCCATTTGGAGGACGTCACCTACTCATGAATATTAATGAGGGGGGCTGGTCGATGTGGAGTGACGTCACGAGCGTTAAGGACATTCCTGGGTGATTATAGGAGGGATGATGAGTTCGTGTTTTTGCATGGCCATCGAACAAAGACGGTCACTGCATCGCGCGCTTTCAGATGCTCTTCTGCGGCCGTCTGGAACGCTCTTCCTTCAGATATCAGGAAGCCACTGGAGCTATGCCACTTTAAATCTAGATTGAAAACTCATTTCTTTAGAACGGATTTTTGTGTTTAGTTTGCTGTCCTTCCCTCGCACCTCTGATAAGCACGGTTTGGTTTTTCACAGTGCGAAAGAAGTTCAACACACATACACTAAACTATGTACTTTAATACACACTGCACTATACACTATACTCCGGTACACTACACCATACACTACATTACTATATACTCCGCTACTATACTAAATTAAAAACTCATTCCTTTATTACTGCTTGGTATGGTTAGTTTATTGTCCATCCTCCGCACTTCCGATTGCCACGTTTTGGCTTCGTATGGTGGTGCGAAAGAAGTTCAACATACAGTCCATTATCATTATTGTAACAATACTCGAGAGCGATTTCTCCCGGAGTTGTAGTTTCAATGCGTGACGCTCATAGCAGCGGTGGGGCGAGATTTGACGTGGGCCATGATGCATCACCTAGACTGACGTGGACCCCTGGCCCCTGGGCCCACGTTGCCTGTGGTGGGGGGGGGGGGATGTGGGGGGCTGGTGCAGTTGCACCGCCTGCGCACTCGCCAGCCACGCTGCTGCGTTGTGGCTGCGTGCCGCTTTTTTTGGAGGCTGTTTTTTTTTTTTGCCGCAGCGGACAGGGGCCTTGGCGTCGGCAATTGAATCGCTGCAACGCATCGCTGACGCCCACCGCCAGGCCCCCACCGCGACACCTAGCTGAGCTACAACCCTCACAGCGTTTTCTATTTGAGTTTGCTGCGGCAGCAGAAGCGGCAATGGAGTACACGGACGCTGGGCTACACAGGAGAGAGCCCTCTGTGGACATCACACGCGAGTTCACGTCATCCGGGTCGCATTTGTAATAACAGCAAGAAGCTACGCGCACGGATTATTTTTTCGCGTTCGTTAGTGATATCCGCTCACGTGTGTGTGTGTGTGTGGGGTTTCTCCAGGTACTCTGCCAGTTTTACATCCACTTAGAAAATACTCATTATAAGGTGGGCGGGTGGCCTCAGAGGTCAGGGTGCTGAGCTGGCACTTATGATAATATGGGTTTGAATTTGGGCCTCAGCCGCTTGTGAATAAACCGCGTTGCTCATGCTCGTAGTCACAAATGAACGGCGTGCAAAAATTGATCGAGTTAAATGTGTCTCTGTGGCTTAATTTGCCTACATTCCAGCTCTGAGAGATCAATTTTTGGGTTTGACTGTCATGCAACGGACATTGCCCTCCACGTTACGAGATGATGAATCCATTCGGACCCCTGGCAAAGCAGTGAACCGTTCGTACATATCAGGAAATGGCCCAGAGAAGCGGATATCAACAGAGCTGCCTCTGAGACCCCTTCAAGTGACCTTAAAGCGACCCCCGTTCCACAAAGCAGCAGGCAGCAACATCCCCACCCAGAATCAGAATATGTATTTACACTGGAGAAACCCGCCGTCGCAGTGAGTGTAACATTCGTCGCGCCAAAGTCAACCCGATGTGTTTCATCGCCGAAGCTGGAATTTGGCCAAATAAAATTGCTACATATACACACACACTGACACAGACGAACGACGGCCACTGCGGGATCTTCCGTGTAAATTGGGGCCGGCGGTGAGCGGTCGACAGCAACGATTCGGAGCAGCCGTAGGGCTCGTTCGAGGAGGACGCGCCGTGAATACTGAACAGCACCGCCTCGCGTCAGCAGCCGCGCGCGGACCTCCGAGCACAGCCACGGGGAGGATTTCGCTGCGTGTGTGCGCGTTTTGTAGACATTTAAATGGGGGGGGGGGGGGGGGGCGTAAAGGGGGGGGGGCTAGAGGGGATGGCTTTGGTAGTTTTTGACACTGGCGCTGTGATGAATTTGTATGTGTGTTGAACTTTTTTCACACCGTACCTAGCCGACCGTGCTAATGGGAGGTTTCAGGGGAAGGACAAACAAACTGAACACAAAGCAGTTCTGCCCGACACAAGGACGACAGGGTCTCAAAACTCACGGTGTCGAGGCTTTTGGGTTGTCGCAGCGTCGTGGTGATGAAAAATGTTGTGATCAAAATCATCTACGTCAACGCCATCATGATCGTCATTAAAAATAACAATCGGTATAGAATAATAGCTGGCTGGGGGTGGCGCACGCCTGCACTGCGGAGGTGAGGGTTGGCAGATCACACGAACCAGTGCTGGATTATTCTAGCAGCAAAAGTAGCTAAATATGCTACGGGCCCCGCATTTTCAAGGGCCCAACGCTAAATGCTTTCAAGCTATCAATTCCGGTAGCACTTGCTCTATTACTATAGTACTATACTGCCTTCAACTTTTATGAACGACTGGGTGTTTACGGTTAGCGATTTGTCGTATTATCTGGCTGTATAGCAAATGAAAAAACGCAATTACTTTACTGTGCAAGTAAAAAATTCGTGTTTTAATATTTGTGTTTTTTTATTTAGGGCCCTTTCATAACATATGCTACAGGCCCCGTACTAGCTTCATCCGGCACTGCACAACGAATGTTGCAAAACTCCATAAAAAAATTGTTTAACTCCCTTCCCGTGGGCATTGAGGTGCCATACGCCGACTTGGGAGGAAAAGGCGGTACAGCAAAGTTACAGGCTGTCGTCCTTCCCTTCTACGTGGGATCGAGCGTTGCCCCTTCGCACGCGCGTGTGTTTTCTCCGGGTCCTCCGGTTTCCTCCCACCATGTAAACACTCGTTCATTTGCTTGAACGACACCACCATATAAGACTAAACAACATCGTTGCTTTCGTTACTGTCAAAAATCATCCGAAGTATTATCTTGCGAACTGTCTCCACTACAACCCCTTGTCGCTCTGTGCCCCTGTACCGTTCCCGTTCCGTTGTAATGTGCACTGATGCCGACTTTATTGAGAGCGATATTGGCACGTAAAATAAAGATTGATGATGATGCTGCTGCTGCTGCTCCCGTTGCTGCTGCTGCTGCTGATGCTGTCCTTGGTGCTGATGGTGCTGCTACCGATGGTGATGCTACTGATGCTGATGGTGCTGCTGCTGATAATGTCAATGATGATGATGCTGCTACTGATGGTGATGCTACTGATGCTGATGGTGGTGCTGCTGTTGCTGATAATGCTCATGATGATGATGCTACTGCTGATGGTGATGTCCTTGATGCTGCTGCTGATAATGTCCATGATGATGATGATGGTGATGCTACTGATGCTGATGGTGCTGCTGCTGATAATGTCCATCATGATGATTCTGCTACTGATGGTGATGCTACTGATGCTGATGGTGGTGCTGCTGTTGCTGATAATGTCCATGATGATGATGCTGCTGCTGATGGTGATGTCCATGATGATGATCATGGTGTTGCTGATGGCCATGCTACTGATGCTGATGCTACTGCTGTTGTGGATGTTGCTGCTACTCCAACAGACATTCTTCCCCGCCGATCTGCGCCTCGTGCTGGTGCTGAGGCCAGCTGCGTTCCTCCAGAGGCAGATCTCGGAGCTGGGTGTGCGGCTGAGTCGTGATGACTTTAAAATGAAGGTACCGGTAAGTGTTTCCAGTTGAGTGCCTTGCTCATTGAACTCACGATAGTGGGTTTTTTTGGGGGGGATTAGATTTCGTGAATATAAATGTGTTGTTAAACCCACCACCACCCGACACAGCCAATTAGTAAGGTTTGTCACGTAAACAGAACGTGCCAATTATCTACTAGTACAGCACAGCGGTGTGTTGGAGAGTAAATCCGCAGCATTTGCAATTCAAGTACCTTGACGTTTCGCTGGTAATTACAACCAGCATCATCAGGCGACAGCCAGAGTTGCGGGTAAATCCTCCTGTTTCGGTCTTAAATGGAGTGGGGTAAATGTGATGTCGTCACTTGTGAGCCAATCAGGTGCGAAGAGCAGAGGGGCGGGGTTAATGAGTGTGGGGAATATTCTTAGGTTTTTTCGGTAAAGTGACGTAGGTAAAAACAAATGTATTAATAAAAGTAAAATAAAAATAAAATAAAAATCACGACGTTTCGGAGGCAACACAAGCTTCCGTCTTCAGGTGACTTTACCGAAAAAACCTAAGAATATGAATCCTTGCAGTCACGAAAGCTTCAAATCTCGAGTGTGGGGAACACATTTAACTCGGTTAATCCGCGGCTTTTGGCTAGCCATCCAACAAAGACGGCCACCGCATCTCGTGCTTTCAGAGGTGCTTCTGCGGCCGTCTGGAACACTCTTCCTTCCGATAATATGAAGTGACTGTAGCTATGCACTTTTAAATCATCTACATTGAATAATTCACTTCTTTATAATTACTTTTTGTGTTTTATTTGTTGTCCTTCCCCTGCACCTCCGATTGGCACGGTTGGCTACGTACGGTGCGAAAGAAGTTCAACATAAATACCATCAGTCAATCGCTCAGTTAAATGGTGCATTTAATCAGCCACTCACTCAGTCATTCGGTCAGTTAACCACTCACTTCAACCAATGTCTCACTTTCATTCAGTTGGCTAAGCAGTCACAGCAATTAGCCCCTCACTAAATCGGTCAATCGTTTTTTTTTCCATCCAAGTTAAAGTTTAGCTTATTTAACCAGTTGAGAACTAAAGAGACCAGGATGGACTCATTTGCAATCAGTTGCTTACTCAATCACTCAGTCAGTTAACCACTAACTTCAATCGGTCGGTAACTCTCCAAGTCATTCAATCAGTCGGTGGACCAGTCGCTCCCGTTTAGCGTGATTTGCGTGCACGTACAAGAAATCCGGGGCATTCTAATTTAATTTGAATCTCGCGATCTAGGCGAAGGTCGAACATGGGCATTGGTTGTGTCTTCGGTTAAATTCAGGCGCACACTGGAACTCTGGAGGCAACACTATTTCTTAGCTAAACACAACGGGTAACCCTTAACATTCACAGGATAACGACATATGGTGGTGGTAACCACCGTTGCGAACTTAGCTAACACACGGGGGATACTGCTACATTACTGGACCGGAGACCGAGAATCCTAGATGGTGGCTTCATCCCAGAGTTGACCCAGAAGAACAGCCGAGCTCTGCGTCCACACCTCGCTTACAACCACCCCGGCGTGGCCGGCTCCGCCCAGGCCACGCCCCCCTTCCCGATCCTTCTGGAAGGCCTGAGCCCCCAACCACGTGACCCCCCTGGGGCCCCTGCCCCCCTTTATCTGGTCACGTGTCCTGTTGGGTTCACGCAGAGTGTCACGACTTACCATAATAAAGGCTCAGTCCTTTGTTATGTAGACTAGCCGTAGTGTCAAGCCGCACCTTACCATAATAAAGGCTCAGTCCTTTGTTATGTAGACTAGTCGTAGTCTCAAGCCGCACCTTGCCATAATAAAGGCTCAGTCATTTGTTATGTAGACTAGCCGTAGTCTCAAGCCGCACCTTGCCATAATAAAGGCTCAGTCATTTGTTATGTAGACTAGCCGTAGTGTCAAGCCGCACCTTACCATAATAAAGGCTCAGTCCTTTGTTATGTAGACTAGCCGTAGTCTCAAGCCGCACCTTACCATAATAATAAAAAGTGGGCCGTTCCTGGCCCATCCCCTCCCCTCAACCAGTATAAATACGGGGTAGTATCCCTTGGAATCTCTCATTTACTTGATTACAGCAAGCGTGCTGTGACGGTTCCACCTGAAGACGGAAGCTTGTGTTGCCTCCAAAACGTCGTGATTTTAATTTTATTTTTATTTTACTTTTATGAATATGTCACGACTTCCGTGACACCCACCTACAGCGGCGAGGAAGCCATGTTGCAGGCGCGGGTGGGTTGATTCTAGGAACTTGAATTGTGAGAAGAGACAAGACGTTGGGAAATGCCCGGCCGCACCAGGGTCGCAAACGGGTACCCGTACCCGGCCGGGTAGCCGGGTATCGGGTAGGGTACAGGTATCGGGTACCTGATTGCGACCTCTAGGGTAGGGTACGGGTACGGCCGGGTACGGGTACCCGTTTGCGAACCTGGTGCGGCCGGGTACGGGTACGGGTAAGGAATCAAAACCCGTTTGCGACCTCTGCTACAGCCCCCATACCGAGCCAACACGGTGTAGTGCCGTTCTACTACACGTTGGTATTCAAAGGAGAAGCCAAGAGTGTGTGATAGTTACCGCTGCTAGCCACTAGGCGTCACTATGGGTTCACGGCCCACACCAGTAACGATCATCTTGACCGGTCCCGGGGCTCCCCTAGGTCGACTCAGCCTGAAATGAGTACCCGGTGCTGTGCGTAACCATCCGCCACTGGGGAGACAAAGGCTCCCGGGGGCGTGGTGCTGGTTACCCACCCCCTCGTGTGCCGTGCCGGCCTTCGTAGGTGCTCGCTAGCGGCACCCGCCCCACCGGTCTGCTGAAGGCTATACGGGGGATCTTTGTCTTTGTTTGTGGTGGGCTGGAGGCAGGGGGCTACAGAGACGCTGTTGAGATTGGGGCCACAGGCTCAGAGTTGATGGTGTGGGTGCCTGAGGAGAGCACGCACTCCGGTCGTTGTTTGTGAGATTTTACCAACGGGATCAGTGGATTTCCCCCTCAACACCCTACCACGCCTGGTGTGTATGACAAGACCGTAATTATAATATTTATTGGGGGAGGGGCACATCCCCCCCCCCCCCACAATATTCAAATATGCTCAAAATGTCACCCGCAATATATTGCTATAAAATAGATTTCTGTTTATATGATTGTGGTTATGGTTGTACTTGATTAATCCCTAATCTCTGCCATTACATACAATGAAACAAGAAAAGGTAAAAAAGAAAAAAACAGAGCAATGTAATACAATACACTATTAGACATTGTTGTAAAAATAAAAAGTCCATCCTATGTTAATGAATTTTTAAATATTTAGGCAGGAAATTAGTTTTCAAATTTAGATTTTTTTTTCTGGGGGAGGACCCCCAGACACCCTGGAAGATGTGGTCCCCCCCAATGTTGACTCCATGGCTATGGCCTTGGTGGAGGAGGTGGTGGGTTCGATCCCGAACCTGACACCTGCTGTATATTTGGAGTGTGTGTCTCTCTCCCCGTGGTCGCGTGGATTTTTCTCCGGGTGCTCCGGTTTTTCCCTCCACATTTAGAATCAACGTGCGTTTAGATTATTTGACTGCTATACATTTACAACATAAGCCAGTTAATTTAGCTATCATTTTTGGCCAGAAGCGAGTATAGCTGTCATTTGTGACCAGGCCGCTTCTGAAAAAGAGCTCTATAGTTCAGCGGACCTTATCTTGTGAAATAAAAATAGTTTTCGAAGCCCCACTTCGTCACAGATAGGAGGCGTTCAACTGCACGATAACGATACTACATTTACTGAGCTACTGGCTATACGGACTACTGAGCCGACTTCCTATGCACCGCTGCTGCTGTGGATTAAAGTTCTGCCATCAGCATGATCGGTTTCTACGTCACCTTTCCCGGGACAAAGATGGTGTTGGTCGAGATAAGGGAGCGATTGTTGAATGGAGAAAAACACGGACTCATATAAATGTTTTTCTAATCTCAAATGAAGAGGGTGTATCTTTCTAATTCTCACACTTTGCCTCTGCACCTTCACTGGCTTCCCGTTTACTACACCTCTGTATTTTCAAATACCTTACACATCTAACGCATAGGCTTTTGCGAGCAATACTCTCCATAACACAGGTGTGTTGGAGAGCAAAGCCACAACATTTACAATCTGGCTTTCGCCTCATGAAGCTAGTTGTAATAATTATTGGCAAAACGTCGTCCTCAGATTGTAAATGTTATGGCTTTGCTCTCAAACACATAAGCGTGCTGTAGTAGTAACGAATTGGCATGTTTTGTTTACGTGGCAAAGCTTACTTATTGGCCGTGTCGGGGTGGTGATAGGTTTCATGACACATTTTTTTATATTTACGCGATCTAACCCATAAAACCTCTATAATGGACATGACACATCGTCTGTACATCTCTCCATGGCCTTTCCATGCATCATCTCGCCTCTCTCACCTCTTTTTATGTCCCCCCCCCCCCCCCCCGCCATGTTCTTCGTTCCCAAATCCTCGCTCTGTTCCTCCTCGTCCCTCTGCCCAATCCCGTGTTCGATCTTTCTCTCTCCTTGCAACCCCTCCACTGGAATCAACTTCCTCTGTACATTCAAGCAGCACTGCCCATAGACTCAACACTGCCCATAGACTCAACACTGCCCATAGACTCAACATTGCCGATAGACTCAACATTGCCGATAGACTCAACACTGCCCATAGACTCAACACTGCCCATAGACTCAACACTGCCCATAGACTCAACACTGCCCAGAGACTCAACACTGCACCATAGACTCAACATTGCCGATAGACTCAACACTGCCCATAGACTCAACACTGCCGATAGACTCAACATTGCCCATAGACTCAACACTGCCCATAGACTCAACATTGCCGATAGACTCAACATTGCCCATAGACTCAAAACTGTCGATAGACTCAACACTGCCCATAGACTCAACACTGCCCATAGACTCAACACTGCCCATAGACTCAACACTGCCCATAGACTCAACACTGCCCATAGACTCAACATTGCCGATAGACTCAACATTGCCCATAGACTCAAAACTGTCGATAGACTCAACACTGCCCATAGACTCAACACTGCCCATAGACTCAACACTGCCCATAGACTCAACATTGCCCATAGACTCAACACTGCCCATAGACTCAACACTGCCCATAGACTCAACACTGCCCATAGACTCAACACTGCCCATAGACTCAACACTGCCCATAGACTCAACATTGCCCATAGACTAAACACTGCCCATAGACTCAACACTGTCGATAGACTCTCCCAGAGCCCATCTCTTTACCACTATTTCCCTTCCCTCCCCTGTCGCCCTTTTCGTGACCCCCGTGGCGCCCTCTGTTACGGTCGCTCATTCCTTCCCCGCATGCCACCCCTTGCCATCTAAGCCACTCGATTCTTGCACCCGCTTTTAAACTACACAGAGCGCCTTGGGTCTTAGGTTAAGGCGCTCTACGAATATACGACATCCGCGTCTGAGCATTTTGTGGGTGCCCCTTATCCACACGCATGAGACAGAAAGACAAAACACACTGGGGAAGTCTATTTTCCGCAACTGAATATGTGTTTTGTCCGTGTCCGGGACACCCACGCCCTCCTCCCTCAGTGGCTGCGTCCGTGGCTGGAGACTCAGTGGTGAGGCTACGACAGAGAGACGCTTCCAAAATGTGGGCAAAACTATCGGGACAACGGCCTTCAAAATGTGGAGTTTTCCCCCGTTTCAGTCGAGAGCCTCCCTCCACCGCGGGGCGAGAGATTTACAACCCTGTTGGGTGGCGGCGAAACGCGGGAACGAAAACATTTTTCTACTTTTAAAGGGGTTAAACATCTCCCGAGCGAGCAAACGGTGCGAATGAGATTCGAGTCGCATCTCGTCGCAAACCCACACGATGCCGCTCTGCGCCTTCCGTTCATTCCACCGCTCGCCATCTCCCAGCGGAGTTGCAAATCTCGCTCGTCCCACGGTGGGGGCTTTCACAACCCTTGTTACAGATTTGCGTCCGATGACCTCGAACTGGCATTATTATACCTCGACCGCAGTGGCTGCACGGGGGATGTTAGGGGGGGGCGGGGGGGTGTGGTTCGTCTTCAACTAACTCCGCTGCTTTTGTGTGCTCTTTTCGCGTCGCAGCTCATCATGCTCAACTCGGTGTCAGATCTGTGCGATTACATCGACAGCGAGGAGCTGAGTGCGGAGCTGGGCGGCACGCGCGAGTACTCTCACAGGCGCTGGGTTCAGCAGCGAACGGTAACTCCCTCCGTTGAACACGTTGTCGTAGGCTTTCGCGACCAACGTCATCCATAATACAGGTTTTTACTTGGGTTAGATCGTGTAAATATATAAATGGTGGTGGCGGGTTTAACGACACATTTATATATTTACGTGATCTAACCCCAAAAAAACTGTGTTATGGGTAACTCCCGTGCTCAGCACCTCCCCACCCGCTCTCTAATAAAGATAATAATGATAACAAGTGACACTTTCGAAGCACCTTCCACCGCCCCCTGCCTCCCCACCCTTTCCCAGCCCCCTCGTTAAGCCTGTGGAACGGCGTTCTCGGGTATTTTTCACTCTCGCGGAGTTTTTTGAGTCGCAATTAAAAATATAAAAATACACATAAGAACTTAGAAACCTGCACTCTTTCACCCAGCCATTGGAAAGTGCCACCCAACCGATTGCCTAACGCATGGGGGGGGGGGGGGGGGGGGGGTGGTCGGCAGCCCGTCGCTGCTGCTTCGTGACGTTATATTTTTTATTAAGGAGCGCCACCATCTCTCGCATTGACCACAATGCATTGTTGTTGTTTTTACCGAATGCGAAATTTTTTTTCTCTGTCTTGTTATTTTGATTGCCGGTCCCTGGCCTAACATAGAGAAACGTTCTTTCTGGATTCTTTTTTGGTTTATAAGATGCTCCGGAGAGTAAAACGCACCGCAGACTTCTGCCCGGTGTCTATAAAGTGATACATATCTGGTCTCACACACACAGAGACAAATATTCACCGCGTAGCCTTAACAGACTGCTGGGGAAGTGCCGTTAGCGAGCACCTACGAAGGCCGAGACGGCACACGACGGGGTTGGGTGGGTGGCCAGAATCACGCCCGGTCATCTTTGTCTCCCTAGTGCTGATGTTTACACACCACACCAGGTACTTATTTAATACTGAGTCAACCTAGGGGTGGCTCGGGGTCGGTTCAGATAATTTGTCAACGATGTTGGCCATGTGTGAGTGAGCACGAAACTTGCCAGGTTCGTAGCGCAGTGCAGCGCTCACCACGACAATGATGAAGATCCCCTGTATAGCCTTAACGAACTGTTGGGGCAAGTGCTGTGAGCGAGTAGCACCTACGAAGGCCGCCAGCACGGCACGCGAGGGGGTGCGTGGCGAGCACCAGGCCCGGTCTCTCTACGCACCCCCAACTTTTTTCTTTATAGATACAGGGGAAAAAAGTGCATCTTTCTTCTTGGTTCTTTCGGTAAAGTCACGTAGAATGGAAATAATAAAATAATAAAAATAAAACATAATAAAATAATTCTGACGACGTTTCGGCCACAACGCAAGCAGCCGTCCTCAGGTGTAGAACAGGTCTGTCGAGAATACAGAGTCTGAATGACACGCCCGAGGCTTGGAGCGACTATTTTAGCTGGGATGGAGGGCGAAGAGCGTCTTGACAAAATAATTTGCATAGACGCTCTTCTCCCCTCCATCCCAGCTTAAATAGACTTTACCGAAAGAACCAAGAAGATGAATCCCTGCAGTCACGAAAGCTTTAAATCGAAAGTGCATCTTATAAACCGGAGAACAGGGGAAGTGTCATGGTGTTGTCGGCAATTATAATCATCAGCAGCAGCCTTTGGTTTTCCACTGCTGGATGAAGGTCCGGAATTGGTGTCGATTTCAAATCGGCAGCAGTTTCCCTCTTGGCCGGATTCTCTCTTTTAGCCGTCTGCTAGCGTCGGTGCAAGTCCAGCCCCCCGCGTCCTCACCCCGCGTGCCCCCCACGCCCCCCTACTACCGTGATGTTCAGGCGATCGAGGACTTTGCTCTCACGGTGAAGGCCACGGCTCAGCTGCTGCAAACGTTTGGCGCCGACCTGGCCGAGATGGAGTTGCCCCAGGACGTGCCGAGCACTCGGGCCTTGCTGGGCGCCCACGCCGGAAAACGCTGCCAGCTCAAGGTTCCTCGCGCCGCGTCGTCGTTGTTGTCGTTGTCTCTGCGGTGGAGCCGGTGAAAATTTCACCGGCCCTTTCAGATGAATTGGCACCCAAATTGGTCGTGCACGGGTTGGCTGCGTGCAGTGCGAAAGAAGTTCGAAAGCACGCGGACATTTTTGATATCTGCACATAAAGAACCGCACGAATAAACACGACGACATATTTCTCCCCATGAAAGAGCGTACCCCTGATCATAACAAAATATATTGTCTTCTTGGTTCTTTCGGTAAAGTCACGTAGAAGGGAAGTAATAAAATAATAAAAATAAAACATAATAAAATAATTCTCACGACGTTTCGACCACAACGCAAGCAGCCGTCCTCAGGTGAAACCAGGTCTGTCGCCTCGACAGACCTGGTTTTATTATGTTTTATTTTTATTATTTTATTACTTCCCTTCTACGTGACTTTACCGAAAGAACCAAGAAGATGAATCCCTGCAGTCACGAAAGCTTTAAATCGAAAAATATATTGTGTCAGCCCATCAGTGCAAAGGTAGCATTTGTTTAAGCAGGCAAACTCTGGACTGGTGTTGACGTTCCGCATCTCGTTGGCAGTCAGGCATGTCCAACACTTGCATTTTATACTTTCATACGTGAATATATTCACAGGCAGGTGCGGGAGCCCATTAAAACGCCGCCTGTTTTGCAAGGGACAGATCTGAGGTGCAAAAAAAAGGAAAAACGTCACGGCGGGGTCGTAAAACGACTGCAAAGGAAGAAACGTGCGATAATGCTGACGATAATCTGATGTCATTAGACTTCCTTTGCCAGTAGCAAAATATAATAATAGGGTTTGTTGCCAGAAAAAAGGGGGAAAACACGATACTCTGATGGTTATTCAACTCTAGAAAAATCAGAAGAGACCTGGCAGCAGATGATAACTGAACTAAGTGGCTTGCAGCCAAATACCCTACACGCACGTTTATTCTAAATGTGGAAGGTAAAACAACCGGAGGACCTAGAGATACATCCACGTGACCATGAGGAGAGAGAGAGAGAGAGAGACACGCAAACTACAAATATACAGCAGGCGTCAGGTTCAGGATCGAATCCACGACCTCCTGCATACCCAGCGAGGTAGTTAGCATCTCCTCACCATGGCATCCAGTCCTTACACTCACAGACGGCAAGGATCATGGAGCAGCTAAGCATATAGCCAAGACGACATGTACACATAACCGCCCTGTATACCCATACAGGTAACAAGCTGAGATTAGGAGCACTCCCTTTAAGAGTGTGCTCCTAATCTCAGCTCGTTACCTGTATACCCATACAGGTAACAAGCTGAGATTAGGAGAACTCCCTTTAAGAGTGTGCTCCTAATCTGAGCTCGTTACCTGTATAAAAGACACCTGGGAGCCAGAGATATTTCTGATTGAGAGGGGGTCAAATACTTATTTCCCTCATTAAAATGCAAATCAATTTATAACATTTTTGACATGCGTTTTTCTGGATTTTGTTGTTGATATTCTGTCTCTCACTGTTCAAATAAACCTACCGTTAAAACTATAGACTGATCATTTCTTTGTCAGTGGGCAAACGTATAAAAATCAGCAGGGGATCAAATATTTTTTTCCCTCACTGTATACTAATCTATACATCTCGCCACCGTGGCACCGTCTCGTGACCCCTGTTATTGACCCCGTGACCCTCCACCCCCCGCTCTCCTCCCGTGCCCCCACCGTCGTGCCGCAGGACGAGATGCAGATGGCTGTGGAGGAGGGCAACGGCCTCATGGCCTCGATCGAGGACTGCAGCGACAGTGACTCGAGCGGAGACTCAGACTCGGAGCGCGCGGAGAACATCTCCACCGTGCAGAGGTTGCCGGCCCCCTCCCCGCCCGTGGGCGCGTCCGGTCGACACGGCTGTGCCCGCTGTTCGACAAGCAAATATATAAGTGACGATAAAGGGCTACGTTGGGTCTCTGTGTAAATAACTGGGGGGAGGGGGGGGCAGGGGCGGTGTATCTTGTGAGGAAAGATCACAACACCGAGGCACCCCCACCCCTCTTCTTGGTTCTTTCGGTAAAGTCACGTAGAAGAGAAGTAATAAAATAATAAAAATAAAATATAATAAAATAATTCTCACGACGTTTCGGCTACAACGCAAGCAGCCGCCTTCAGGTGAAGGATGAAACACTGCCAAGCTTGGAGCGTATATATAAGCTGGGTTGGAGGTGGAAGAAGAGCGCCTTGACAAAAGAACGTCGTGAGAATTATTTTATTATGTTTTATTTGTATTATTTTATTACTTCCCTTCTACGTGACTTTACCGAAAGAACCAAGAAGATGAATCCCTGCAGTCACGAAAGCTTTAAATCGAAACACCCCCACCCCGTGAATGAGCCCGGGCGTTCCGCGGGTAACCCCGATGCCGTTGTTGTGTACCCCCGCAGGCTGCTGACCCAGCTGTACGAGACGGAGGCCGCCTTCGATGAGTTCTGGGAGAAGCATCACCTGAAGCTGCAGCAGTGCCTGGACATCAGGCACTTCCAGGAGGAGTTCACCGAGGTGCGTCCGTGACGGCGTTCCCTCGTTACTCGCAAAGGGGGCGCGTGCCGGAGATATTGGCCAGCGAAAATGTATTTTTGTAATGAATGAATTACCTTAAGTAAATACGTAAAAAATACGATGTTAATTACATGGACGTCATCGTAATGAAAACTAAAACTGGTTATAATCAACATAAAGTAAGTAAAAATAAATGTTAAAGTAACATTAGTTTATCTCATAACATCATGGGATCTCCTTTGTCAGTACCAAAAATGAGAATAGGTTTTCCTCTTTAATCTGGCAACAAAGCAGGTGTTAAGATGTTAAAACACCAAACTGAAACCTTTAACAAGGAATCATGTCTGCATTGACCACGATACTTGTGGTCAGAATGCAAACAAAAAACACACTCTGATAATATTTGCATTGTCTTTGAAACTGATTGGTCCACACCAGAGACAGCTTTCTTTTGAGCCTAGTCTCAAACGGTGTTAGACCACAGGATTCAGTTTCAAAGACAATGCATACACTATCAGAGTATGTTTTTTGTTTGCATTCTGACCACAAGTATTGTGGTTAATGCAGACATGATTCCTTGTAAACGGTTTCAGTTTGGTGTTTTCACATCTTAACACCTGTTTTGTTGCCAGAAAAAAGGGGAAAACCTATTCTCATATTTATCTCATAACTTTATCTCTCATCACTTTATCTCTCATCACTTTATGTCATCACTTTCTCTCCCTCTCTCGATGCAGCAGTCGTGTAGAGTTTCCAGATGCGATTTGCCGAAAGCCAAAATCTCCAGATAGCCAAGTTTGCGAATAACGAGGGAATACCTAACTTAATGATCAACGCGCATTCGCAAACGAGCAGAAGTCATTTGGAGGGAGTTAAAAGTAGTTCAGTGATATCCGTTTCCTCGGACCGTCTTCTCCAGCACGGCAGGTCGCATTGCTCCGTGACGTATCGGAGCAAATTGCTTAAGTCTCACGCCTCGATGCTGGTAGTGCAACGATGGAGGAAATCGCACGTAAAAACGTTAGGGAGGGGAAGCGTTCTACCCCCCAGTCTGATTGACCACCTGGCGGCACACGCAATGCTCCGGCACAGCGACTATCCACCGCCTTCCTTTGAGCTCCTCTGCCCACACATTTCGGGATTTTTTTTTTTACTAGTAAACTCGTTTACTGAGGAAAAGGCTCGCTCAGTCTCACGGTTCCTTCTTTTCAGGAGGTTCCCGCCAAGCTTTGACAGCAGTTGGGGGGGGGGCGGGGGGGGGGGCAATTGTTGCTTCCTATGTTTCCAATTGAATAACTCCGCGGGTAATTTGACAGTAAGTAAGCTTTGCCACGTTAATAAAACGTGCCAATTCGTTACTACTACAGCACGCTTATGTGTTTGAGAGCAAAGCCATAACATTTACAATCTGAGGACGACGTTTTGCCAATAATTATTACAACTAGCTTCATGAGGCGAAAGCCAGATTGTAAATGTTGTGGCTATTGTTCGCAAAAGCCTATGCGTTAGACCTGAAGACGGAAGCTTGTGTTGCCTCCGAAACGTCGTGATTTTTATTTTATTTTACTTTTATTAATTAAAATTTTTTACCTACGTGGCTTTACCGAAAAGACCTAAGAATATTCATCCCTTTTTTTCCATTTTTCCATTTGACCGAGCGACCGTGACCTCTGGTTTGCAGGTGGCAGTGGCGCTGGGCGAGCTGACGCACCGGCTGGCCGAGTTGCCCGACCTGGCCGAGAGTCGCTCGCACGCCGAGAGAGTCCTCCGGGAGCTCGCGTCGCTGCAGCAGCGCGGTCAGGTGAGAAGCTGAGTGGCGGCGGTGGCCTGCCTCCTGGGGGTCCCGTGGCTCCTGGAGTGCGCGCGGAGTGACCTTGGTTAGCGGAGTGACCTTGGTGAGCGGAGTGACTTTGGTTAGCGGAGTGACTTTGGTTAACACAGCGACTTTTAGTTTACAGAGCGAACTTGGTTAACAGAGCGACTTTGGTTAGCAGAGTGACTTTGGTTAACACAGCGACCTGTAGTTTACAGAGCGAACTTGGTTAACAGAGCGACTTTGGTTAACAGAGCGACTTTGGTTAACAGAGCGACTTTGGTTAACAGAGTGACTTTGGTTAACAGAGCGACTTTGGTTAACAGAGTGACTTTGGTTAACAGAGCGACTTTGGTTAACAGAGCGACTTTTGTTAACAGAGCGACTTTGGTTAACAGAGTGACTTTGGTTAACAGAGCGACTTTGGTTAACAGAGCGACTTTGGTTAACAGAGCGACTTTGGTTAACAGAGGGACTTTGGTTAACACAGCGACCTGTAGTTTACAGAGCGAACTTGGTTAACAGAGCGACTTTGGTTAACAGAGCGACTTTGGTTAACAGAGTGACTTTGGTTAACAGAGTGACTTTGGTTAACAGAGTGACTTTGGTTAACAGAGTGACTTTGGTTAACAGAGTGACTTTGGTTAACAGAGTGACTTTGGTTAACAGAGCGACTTTGGTTAACAGAGTGACTTTGGTTAACAGAGTGACTTTGGTTAACAGAGCGACTTTGGTTAACAGAGTGACTTTGGTTAACAGAGTGACTTTGGTTAACAGAGTGACTTTGGTTAACAGAGCGACTTTGGTTAACAGAGTGACTTTGGTTAACAGAGTGACTTTGGTTAACAGAGCGACTTTGGTTAACAGAGTGACTTTGGTTAACAGAGTGACTTTGGTTAACAGAGTGACTTTGGTTAACAGAGTGACTTTGGTTAACAGAGTGACTTTGGTTAACAGAGTGACTTTGGTTAACAGAGTGACTTTGGTTAACAGAGCGACTTTGGTTAACAGAGTGACTTTGGTTAACAGAGTGACTTTGGTTAACAGAGTGACTTTGGTTAACAGAGTGACTTTGGTTAACAGAGCGACTTTGGTTAACAGAGTGACTTTGGTTAACAGAGCGACTTTGGTTAACACAGCGACCTGTAGTTTACAGAGCGAACTTGGTTAACAGAGTGACTTTGGTTAACAGAGCGACTTTGGTTAACAGAGCGACTTTGGTTAACAGAGCGACTTTGGTTAACAGAGGGACTTTGGTTAACACAGCGACCTGTAGTTTACAGAGCGAACTTGGTTAACAGAGCGACTTTGGTTAACAGAGCGACTTTGGTTAACAAAGTGACTTTGGTTAACAGAGTGACTTTGGTTAACAGAGTGACTTTGGTTAACAGAGTGACTTTGGTTAACAGAGCGACTTTGGTTAACAGAGTGACTTTGGTTAACAGAGTGACTTTGGATAACAGAGTGACTTTGGTTAACAGAGCGACTTTGGTTAACAGAGTGACTTTGGTTAACAGAGTGACTTTGGTTAACAGAGCGACTTTGGTTAACAGAGTGACTTTGGTTAACAGAGTGACTTTGGTTAACAGAGCGACTTTGGTTAACAGAGTGACTTTGGTTAACAGAGTGACTTTGGTTAACAGAGCGACTTTGGTTAACAGAGTGACTTTGGTTAACAGAGTGACTTTGGTTAACAGAGTGACTTTGGTTAACAGAGTGACTTTGGTTAACAGAGTGACTTTGGTTAACAGAGTGACTTTGGTTAACAGAGTGACTTTGGTTAACAGAGTGACTTTGGTTAACAGAGTGACTTTGGTTAACAGAGCGACTTTGGTTAACAGAGTGACTTTGGTTAACAGAGCGACTTTGGTTAACAGAGTGACTTTGGTTAACAGAGTGACTTTGGTTAACAGAGTGACTTTGGTTAACAGAGCGACTTTGGTTAACAGAGCGACTTTGGTTAACAGAGCGACTTTGGTTAACAGAGCGACTTTGGTTAACAGAGCGACTTTGGTTAACAGAGTGACTTTGGTTAACAGAGTGACTTTGGTTAACAGAGCGACTTTGGTTAACAGAGTGACTTTGGTTAACAGAGTGACTTTGGATAACAGAGTGACTTTGGTTAACAGAGCGACTTTGGTTAACAGAGTGACTTTGGTTAACAGAGTGACTTTGGTTAACAGAGCGACTTTGGTTAACAGAGTGACTTTGGTTAACAGAGTGACTTTGGTTAACAGAGCGACTTTGGTTAACAGAGTGACTTTGGTTAACAGAGTGACTTTGGTTAACAGAGCGACTTTGGTTAACAGAGTGACTTTGGTTAACAGAGTGACTTTGGTTAACAGAGTGACTTTGGTTAACAGAGTGACTTTGGTTAACAGAGTGACTTTGGTTAACAGAGTGACTTTGGTTAACAGAGTGACTTTGGTTAACAGAGCGACTTTGGTTAACAGAGCGACTTTGGTTAACAGAGCGACTTTGGTTAACAGAGGGACCTTGGTTAAAACAGCGAGCTTTAGTTTACAGAGCGACTTTGAAACGTTGATTATGAAGAGCGACTTTGGTTAGCAGAGCGACCTTTAGTTAATAGAGCGACTTTGGTTAACAGAGCAATCTTGGTTAAGAAAGTGACCTTAATTAACAGAGCAACTTTGAAGAACAGAGCGACCTTGGTTAACAAAGTGACCTTTAGTCAACAGAGCGACCTTGGTTAGCAGAGCAACCTTGGTTAACGAGGGGGCGTACACAGAACTCAGTGAGGGAGTGGGAGTGGGGTCATCCTGATTTTCTGCTTTTCTGACCTGATGATGCTTGACGCAGTTTCAAGCGACAACTCGTGTGGTCTCTCAATTGACAATTATTTGTGAACTTCACCAAAATGTCGGCCGTGAGTGACGATCGAACTCAGGTCTTTGGGTTCGTAGAGCGGCTGCTAATCCGCCACGCTACTGCTCCAAGAGGTAAAGATCCCCCGTATAGCCTTAACAGATGGTTGGGGCAAGTGCTGTTAGCGAGCACCTATAAAGGCCGGCACGACACACGAGGGTGGGTTGCCAACACCACGCCCGGCCGCCTCTGTTTCCCCAGTGGCGATGTTTACACATCGTACCAGGTACTCATTTGAGGCTGAGTCGACCTAGGAGAGGCCCTGGACCGGTTCAAATAATCGCCGGTGGTGTTGGCCATGAGCGGGAATCGAACTCGCGTCGCTGGGTTCGTAGCGCAGCGCGCTAACCGCTACACTACCGCTCCCCACCGATACACACACAGACACGCACACACACCAGCTGATCTGCGATGCATGCGCCCCGTGTATCGTCACCACAACTTCCCGCGCGGCCAGCATCGTCACCGTCATCCGGCGGCGGCGGCACGGCTCCGACGCAAGCGCTCCGCAGCGAGAGAGAGAGAGAAAAAAAATGAATGCCCTCGGGTTATTAAATGCTGTGCACCGACCGCTGCATCACCGCTCCCCTGCGCGCAGGAGTGGCTGGGCAAGGTGACTACGCTCGCCTCGCGAGGGGAGGAGCTCATCGAGGCGGACAACCTCTTCGCGGAGGACGCCCTCGCGCTGCCCTGCCAGGAGCTGCAGCGCATCTCGCTGGAGTTCTCCGAGGGTCACGAGCGCAAGAGCCGCTCGCTCGGCCTCTCGCTCGAGCTGGAGAAGAGGCTCGAGAAGGTGACGCTCGCCTACACAACAACAACAACAACAGCAACAACAATAACAACGTGTAGTTATTCTGACTGGTTCAGGGACCCACTGAGCTGAGTAGCTCTTTTTCAGAAGCGGCATGGCCCTCGCAAATGACGGCTCGACGCATCGGCTTACCGTCGCGTGGAAATTTGTAGCAGCCGAATACTCTAAACGCGTGTCAATTCTAAACGTGGAGGGAAAAGACCAATCTTTCAGTATAGATTCTAAATCTGGAGAGAGAAAAAATCGTAGAAAAGTCCATGCAACCACAAGGAGAGCATGCAAATTCCAAATATATTAAACTATCAACTATTTTTTATTGTACCAGCTAAGGCCCACTGAGTTGCGTAGCTCTTTTTTCAGAAGCGACCCGGTCACCACAAATTACGGTTCGATCAATCGGATTATCGTCGTGTGAAAATATATGGCAGGAGAATATTCTAAATGCATGTTGATTCTAAATGTGGAGAAGAAAAACCGGAGGACGCGGACAAAAAAATCTGCATGACCGCTTCAAATATATACAGGCATCAGGGTCGGGATCAAACCCATGACCTCCTGTATACCAAGCGAGGTAGTTACCAGTTTTCAGTTTCATTTATTAGGTATAGCCCTGTGAGCCATTCGGCTCTTGAATTGGGTGCAACCGCAACAAACAAAAAACAAAAACATGAACAAAAAAACATCTTAAAGTGACTATGCGCAAACAGAAAAATCCAGGAAAAGCACCGTATACCAACGCTGTGTGCAAAAATCCCAGTGGGATGCAAGTCAAACAACAACAACCACAAGACAACTTAGATTAAAGCGATCAATCTAACTCCGTACTACAACAAACAAACATGGCCAAACCAAAAACTTTTTGAAATCACCAAAATAAAGCCATAAAAGCAATGTAACAGTGATCACCAAATCGCCACCGCGTGGATTATGCAACGCTGTCCAACATGCGTAGTACTGGTAGGAACCTCCTGGTTACACCAGCCCACAGGGGATTATTTTGTCCGTCCGTTCGTCGTGCATCCAAAAATGGAAGGGGTGGGGCTGGGTGGAAAGGGAAGGGTGGGGAGGGGCTGGGTGGGGAGGGGAGGGTGGGGCTGGGTGGGGAGGGGAGGGTGGGGCTGGGTGGGGGGTGGGAGAAGTGGGGCTGAGTGGGGAGGGGCTGGTCACCCCGTGGTGCCCTTATAAAACTCAACGTTTAACCTACTCACGCCGGCTTGTGCCCGCCCTCACAGTCGGGTATATTTGCGGAATACACCATGCCGCCGTTGACCCTGGCCATTGACCGAGCAACCCAACGTTCCTACCAGCTCCCTCCGCAGGAATGTGTTTTAATTAGCAGTTGGAAGAACGATGGTTAGCTGTCTGTGCAAAATGCATTTGCAAACTGGTTTCGCTGGTTTTCTCCATCGAAGCTCCCTAAGTGGAAAAACTCAACCTCAGTACAAACGTTTTGTTCTGATTGGGTAATTTTAACGAGAGTCATCGTGCCTCCCTGCTACAAACAGGCAGCGCTATTTGCATTGAGGCATTTAATCTTAGGGAGCGTTAATAAACGCTGACGTGATGAATTAACTCAACGCAATTAAATCGACGAATTTTGTCGGGTCGATAATAAGCAGAAAGACCTGCCCACATACCAAAATCCAGATTATTCGAGCTCAGATCTGAGAGGTTTCACTCTATAATTGGCATATAATATTAATTAATCGTAAATAACGATTTAACTGCTTGATCAAACAACTGATGTTTGTTGAAATTCGTTTGCACCGTACGTAGCCAACCGTGCTAATCGGAGGTGCGGGGGCAGGATAACAAACTAAACACAAAAAGCAGTTCTAAAGAAATGAGTTATCAATCTAGATTTAAAAGTAAATAGCTCCAGTGACTTCCTAATATTGAAAGGAAGAGCGTTCTGGACAGCGGCAGAAGCGCATCTGAGAGCGCACGATGCGGTGACCGTCTTTGTTCGATCGCCAGTATAAAGCCGCTGCGAGGATGACTAAAATGTTTGCTCCTTGACGAGATCAGCAAGGTATTGTGGTTAATCTGTGACAAGTGTAATGTGTTGGGGGTCACACGGGGGCACACAGACCGCGCCCATAGAAATAATTAAAGAAGGGCACTGGCAAGGAAGGTGTAAAAAGGGAGACAGGGAATTGGGGGAAAAACCCCAAGAAGATGGACATTGGCCAGAAAATACACTGATTGAATGAACCACCGATTGAATGACGGACTCACTCATTGATGAGCTCACTGCTCGACCGATGGACCTGTCTAACCGGGCCGCCCCACCTCCGCGCGGCCCAGGCGATGGCGTGGTGCGAGCGGGGGGTGTACCTCCTCGCCTCGCAGCCCGTGGACCGCTGCCAGTCCCAGGAAGGGGCCGAGGCAGCGCTGGCCGAGATCCACGCCTTCCTCGAGTCGTCGCACGAACACCAGCTGGGCGACACGTCGCCCTTCGACGCCATCCTGACCTCCGACCTCTCCGTGAGTCCCGCACGGGGTCAGCGCGTGCCCGGCGCGTTTACTGCCCCGCCCCACCCCCAACACACCTCGCCCTATCCATCCCCCCCTGCCCTTTGCCCACCAACTGCTTAACGGTCAAGGAATGAAGTCTTTGTCGTGGTGAAAGATTGACAGAGGCGGCCGCGTGTCTCTCGAAGATTATGGGGTTGTTTGTGATGTCGAAAGTCGTGGGGATGTTGTCCTAGTGTGAGGATTGGCGCACAAGGTGTCCAGTCCCGGATTATCGTAGTGGCAAAAGTAGCTGCATATGCTACGGGCCCTGCACTTTCAACGGCCCCGCGTTAAATGCTCTCAAGCTATCAATTCCGGTTCGGTGATTCTGCACTTGCTCTATTACTATAGTACTATACTGCCTTCCACTTGTATGAACGACTGGGTGTTAAAGGTTAGCGATTTGTCATATTATCTGGCTGTATAGCAAATGAAAAAACACAATTACTCTACTATGCAAGTAAAAAAAATGTGTGTTTTATTATTTACGTGTTTTTTTTTATTTAGGGCCCCTTTATAACATACGCTACAGGCCCCACACTAGCTTCATCTGGCACTGAAGGTGTCGCAAGTTCGATCTAATCTCCCGGTTGAAACAATGGCCAAGTCTGTCCAATGCACCCCACCTTTGCCCCCCTCCCACGAGTCGTGAGCGGTTGGGGTCAAGTGTGGGTATTTCTACCTCTTCCAAGGTGATCTGGGCAAGCATGGAAGGTTAAACCAAAGTATCCACCCAAGTGGCTCACCACAGCTGTCTCTGGCGGAGGCCCTTCCACCGACAGTGACACGGGCAAACTATTTCAGGGCTGCACCTTTACCTTAACGGTTCCCGTGTTTAGATTGTTGTCCTTCCCCGCAGTTCGCCGGCGTGCGTTGCGAGAGGAGTTCAACGTGTGTACAGAATAGCCGAACGCAGATACTGACTGTCAGCCTCATTAAGTGCCATTCTGAACGTAACAAAATGGTGTGCTTTTTTTGTAACCGCACACGTAGATGTTATTCTGAAATTCAAACCTGTAAACCCGATTCACAATCCTAATCCTGAATCTCATTCCAGATCCCCAAATCCCAATGAGTGTCCTGTGCCCCCCGCACCTCCGATTAGCACGGTTGGCTACGTACGGTCGCGAAGGAAATTTAATGCACATGCACACACACGTGGGCAAGCAGACCTCAACATTGGCCCCATTTGCGTATTGCCACGAGAAAGAATAAAAAAAACGGCACACAGATGCTGACAAAAACGACGGCGTCCCAATGACAGTTTACGACAGCGACGACGACGAAAGTGAGCTCGATCGACTCGGCCGACGTTCTGCACCCCACCCTCAACCACCGTTTGCAGGAGCGCGTGGAGGTGCTCCACCGGAAGGTGACGGAGGTGAGGGACATGTTCGAGAAGCGGCGGCAGGGCCTGCGCAAGCTCGCCGCCAAGCAGGCGCGGCCGGTGCAGCACGTGGCGCCGCGGCCAGAGTCCCCGCGGCACTCGCCCAAGAGCTCGCAGGGTAAGCGGCAGCGTCGGCGGTGCGAGGTAAAGGAGATGTCTCATAGCGTAAATGCTTGCCCCGAGCTCTCAATACTCTGATAGTGCGCTGTCTTTGAGTTGAACGCCTTTTGTCGTCATCTGCTCCAACACCAATGGCGACTCGGCTCTAAGAAAAGCTGTCTCAAGGACAGTGCATATCATTATCATCATCAGAGTTGTTTATTTTTGTTTGCATTTTGACTGCTTGTGTTGTGGTTATTGCAAATATGATGCCTTGTATACAGGTGTCAGTTTTTGTACCAGTTGAAAGGGTAAAAACCGATTACTATAAGCTTTTTTTTCTGTTCATTTTTCATTTCTCGAGGCTGCAAAACGCCACGTGGCCGGCAACAGACGGCCCCGTTGATGACGTGGCGTTGCTCGACGCGTCAATATCTTGCGTTCATTTGAATCGCGGTCAGAGAATTCCACGGCGGAAGAGTGCGAGGGAAGCATCGTCTGAAGAGAAAGTGTTTCTGACCCGCAGTGTGTGCTTGTTGAACACTGTATGGACGAGATTAATCTATTACTGCTGGCGGTTTTTTGTTGTTTACCAGGTAAGGCCCACTGAGCTATGTAGTAGCTCTCTTAAGAAAGCGACCTAGCCACAAATGTACGTATGTTGAACCTCTTTCGCACCACCGTGCCAATCGGAGGTGCTCCAGTGGCCTCCTAAAGTCGGAAGGATGAGCGTTCCAGACGGCCGCAGAAACGCATCTGAAAGCGCGCGATGCGGTTACCGTCATTGTTTGATGGCCAGCATCGAACAATGATATCTCGTTGAAGTGGCTTATCGCGTGGACATTTCTAACAGCTGGTTACTCTAAACGCACGTTGATCCGAAATGTGGAGGGGAAAACCGGAGGACCCGGAGAAAAATCCATGCGACCGCAGGGAGAACATGCAAAATGCAAATATACAGGCGTCAGGGTCGGGATGGAACGCACGACCTGCATACCAGGCGGGAGAGTTAACATCTTGCCACCTTGGCGCCCTATATATATTTATCACATATATATACCGTAATGCGATGTCTCCATGCAAAGCATGTCAGTGAACATTTCAATAAAAAAAAACTGACAATAATAAGGAAAATACCATTGGCTGATCAGTCTACTTCAGTGGTTGGTTGTAAAGCTGTGCAAACAAAACATGGCTTCTTAATTTTTACTGAAAAGATTCGACTGCGTCTACAATTCCTGATGCGGCTCGTGGGACGGCCTTTCAAAGTGCAGCGGGCGTTGACCCTCGTCCCCTCCTGATGTTTTATCTTATCCGAACGGAATTTTTATTTCGTCTCAACCTAGGCGCTTTACAAAGAATGAACAACTGTGCAACGTCGCGTGTGTGAAGGTAGTCACGGTGGAGACGAGGCGAATGAAATAGATGAGAGAGGAAGCGATGGGGGCGAATCTGTGATGATGCGTGAATTGGGTGAAAGCAAAATCGATGAGAGTAAATGATGATGAGTGGAATGAATGGGGAATGAGTGATAGCCATGTAAATACGTTCCTTCGGAGTGGGCAGGTAGGAACTTGGTTGGACAGCGCATTCGTGCACGGCAGAAAGCTCGCGGTCATGTGACGCACTTCAACCAATCCGGGAGCGTACATGTTTGGGATGCATAATCAACGTTTTTGGGTTTAGATCGCGTTATTTATAAATGTGTCGTAACCCTCCACCACCCGACACGGCCAATCAGTAAAAAAGTGTCACGTTGACAAAAGACAAATTAGTTCACTGCTTTAGCCCACCGGTGTGTTGAAGCGTGAAACCACAACATTTACAATTTGAGTACGACGTTTCGCTGGTAATTGCATCCAGCATCATCGGGCAATTCCCAAACATTCAAAATGTTTGGGATGGGCTATGCACGACAGACAAATAATCCCTGGTGGGCAGTGTGGAACTGTTGTTCCTACCTGTATAAGAATATGAAAAGGGAATAGTAACGGTGTTGGTGGTTATGAGGCGGAGATTAAGGGGGCAGGGGGGGTCGTGAGGTGAGCTAGAGAACAATAAGTGAGTTTTTAGTGAGGAGCGGAAACTTAGTGAGAAAAGGCTTAATGTGGTGTGGGAAGTTTGTTACAGTAAAGGGGGGGGGGAGACGAGTGTGGATTGAGCAATAGTAGGAGAACGAGACAGCAAGCGGCTACTCCGAACCACCAAAGTTTCACCACTCACCAGTGTCCAGTTGCGACTGATACCACAAGAAACCAACAGCGGCTCCTGTAAAGCGCCAGGGTACGGGCGGCCTTGTTTCGGAAGGAGATAGCGATGACGATGGTCATGCTGAAAATGATGACAAAAATGATCTTTATGAGGGCGACGACGATGACTGTAATGATCCTAATGATGATGACGATAATGACGATACGACTTGTGCCTTTTAAGGTGCTGTAAGGAGAGGTGTGGACAAGCAGGCGTGCGCTGAGATGGACCCCGCCAAAAAGAAAGGCCTCAAAAAGATGAAAAGCACACCAAAGGTGAGAACTTTGGATGGACGGACAGGCCCACAACTCCCTGCCATCGTCGCAAATGCTCTTGCCATGTAATTAAACGGCTGTGCATCCCAGCATTCGATCCTTTGACAAATGTATTCTCCTTCTTGGTTTTTTCGGTAAAGTCATGTAGAATGTAAATAATAAAAATAATAATACAATATATTATTATTTGGCATTTTTATTATTTTATTATTTCCATGTAAATAATAAAAAATAAAAAATATTGCAAATAATATTATAATATAATATATTTTGTACACAATGGATAATATAATATATTAATAATATATTATTATTATTTGTTATTTTTATTATTTTATTATTTCCATGGAAATAATAGCACCTTAGAAGGCACAAGCCGTATCGTCATCATCATTAGGATCATTACAGTAAATAATAGAATAATAACAAATAACAAATAATATAATATATTTTTATTTTTATTATTTTATTATTTGCATTCTACGTGACTTTACCGAAAGAAGCAAGAAGATGAATCCCTGCAGTCACGAAAGCTTTCAATCGAAATGTATTCTCGCTCGTGGCAATACGTTCGGAAGCAGAGTGCCAATGTTGAGGAGGTCTGCTGGCCACGAGAGGAACTCTGGAGAGAGTTCGTGCAGCGTTGCTGTCCCTCATCCATTGAAGAATCGCAGACTGAATGTATGTATATCTATGGGACATTTTTTGGCGGTATAAAAATTATGAAAAGTAAGCAAGGTATCTATTTGGTGTTTTAACACCTGTTTCATTGCCAGAAAAAGTGGAAACCTATTCTCATTTTTAAATCTTTCATATTAAGTTCGCTTGCTTGCTTGCGTGCTTGCTTGCTTAGGACCGTGCAAATCTTTCGGTCGTTTTTTAGCCCACTTCCCGTGATCCAATAGAGCTGACATTTTGCACACAGACTCGTTGTGCGTGACAATTAATGTTCGTGAAAAAAAATTCAAAAATTTTACACTGTTTAGGGAAATTTTTAAAAATATTTAATTACCAATTGCTTAATGCTGCCAGACAATCATCTGACCCATAGGTGGCAGCCATCTCAAGCCAGAAGACGAGAGGACTCTAGCCACCCCGATGCCATGCATATAAAGGATTTATAGTGAAAAACTTAGTTTTTACGGGTTTACTTGTTAAATCCTTTATATTAAGTTCACTTGCTTGCTTGCTTGCGCGCTTACGACCGTGAAAATCTTTCGGTCGTTTTTTAACCCACTTCCCGTGATCCAATCGAGCTGACATTTTGCACACAGACTCGTTGTGCGTGACAATTTATTTTCGTGAAATTTTTTTTCCATAACTTTACACTTTTTAGGAATTTTTTTTATATTTCATTACCAATTGCTTAATTGTGGCAGGCAATCATCTGACCCATAGGTGGCAGCCATCTCAAGCCAGAGGACGAGAGCACTCTAGCCGCCACGCATATAAAGGATTTATAGTGAAAAGCTTTGTTTTTACGGGTTAATTTTTTTCAGAACGAATGTATGCGCGTTGAACTTCTTTCGCACCGCACGTAGCCAACCGTGCTAAATCGGAGGTGCGTGACAGTCATTCATTCGACGTCTCGAGATCCAGGGGGCAAGGAAGTGATGTCCGCGTCCAATTTGTGCTCCCTCCCCGTGAACGCTCCGCGTCGAACGCTCGCCGGGCCCAGATCGAGGTGGTGCACGACGAGAGCCAGGGCGGCTCGCCGATGGCGGTGGCGGGCAGCGACAGCGAGGAGAACACCTTGACACGCAGACGGTGAGTTCCCCCCCTCCGCGCTACCACCACATCACCCACACCGCACCCACCCCCCCACCTCGCCGGAGATGGACAGCGACGGCCGGGGACGAACGGAACGCAGGTGAGTGAGCGCCGATCTCCCCCCCCGAGTCTCTTGACGGCTGACGGCAGCGGAAGAATGGCCTGTCGACCGCGGACGGGACCCGAGTGAGCTTGTTCAGACCACGGCTTTCGTGCGAACCGCCATCGCCCTGCGGTCAGCGCCAGTTCACGAGCTGCTCCACCACCCCCCACACCCCACATCCGCCCCCCCGCCGTTTCGTGGGGTAAAGTTCGCGAGCCGACAGGAAACACCCGCGGTTTGGCAGCGGTGCGCGAAAGTGGATCGTAGCGCTCCGCCGCATTCATCGGCAACTCTGCAGCGCACGACAACCGAAATGTACTCCGCCGAATGATGATGTTGCGTCGTGGGGCGGTGGGTCTTCTTCGGAGCAGGCGTCCGCTGAATATGTGGTGGCGTTTTCCTCTGCGGTTCTGGCGAAGTGTTAGAATGTATTATTCTATGGTTCTTTCGGTAAAGTCACGTAGATAGAAAATAAAATAAAAATATCAAAAATATCAAAAACCAAAAAACTCACGGCGTTTCGATCGTAACACAAGCGGTCGTCATCAAAACTCACGAGAAAAAAAGGGCCCTTTTATTCTCTCCGCCTGATGACGGCCGCTTGTGTTGCGATCGAAACGTCGTGAGTAAAAAAAAAAATTGTATATTTTTATTATTTTATTCTCTATCTACTTGACTTTACCGAAATAACCATAGCATATGAATTTCTGCAATAACGAAAGTAAAATGTGTCCATGATACCGCGATAGTTGCGTGGGCGGGAGGGGGGGAGGGTGTGCAGTAACGGGGCGGTAGTTAGCGCACTGCGCCGCGTACCACAGACACCCGAGTTCGATTCCTGGCCACGGCTAACATCATTGGCATATATCTGAATTGGTTCCAACACACACACACGCAAAGACAAATAGCCCCCGTATAGTCTTAACACACTGTTGGGGCAAGTGCTGTTAGCGAGCCACCTATGAAAGCCGGCAAGGTGCACGGGCGGGTGGGTGGACAGCACCACGCCCGGCCGCCTTTGTCTCCCCAGCGGCGATATTTGCACACCGCACCAGGTATTCATTTGAGGCTGAGTCGACCTAGGGGAGGCCCAGGACCGGTTCAAACACACACACACACACCTTGCACCTCAGGGGTACATATTTACAACAACAACAACCGCCATTCGCCACTAAGTGGCGGTGACGTCACCACGACGCTTGTGCCAGGCTATGTGCACCCTGAGGCCACGTGAAGTGTCGAACATATTTACACACACACGCTCACACACAAAAATACAAACATACAATACAATGCTTGAAACGTGCATGCAAATGTACCTTGAGGTTAATGGCTGTACACGATACGACAAACCAGACAAGGAACTTCACAAAGAATGAACAACGGCACAACAACGCGTGTGTGAATGTAATGGTGGAGGTGGGGAGAATGACATATACGAGAGGAAGTAATGGAAGCAACCCTGATGATGGCAGGGATTGGGTGAAAGCGACATTGGTGACAGTAAATGATGACGAATGTATTGAATGAATAGGGAATGAGTGAGAGTGACGAATCATCAACTTGTGGTACACAAATATCCCCTGTGTAGCTAAAGTGTTGTTAGCGAGCATCTATTAAGGCGTGCAAGGTGCAAGGGGGGAGTGGTGTGCCCAGGGCTTTGTCTCCCCAGCGCTGATGTTTGTACCCTACAGCAGGTACTCATTTAAGGTTCAGTCGACTTAGGGGAGGCCCACGACCAGTTCAGATAGTTATCAGTGGTGTTGGCCCTGAGCGGGAAGAGGAAAGACCCCAGCTGGGCCCCAAAGTGAGAGGGCCAGGAGGTATGCAGTCAACAATGCTTGACTCAGGGAGGAGGACGCCCCTGCCATGCATAGTCCCATGGGATGTTGGCTACCAACAACAAGGCAACTCCTATGACTAATTGGGAATGGGACGCAAGCGTAGGATTGATCACCCTGTCGCTGGCCGCCTTTGGGGAGGGTGTATAGTATGAAAGGCCGAAACACCCTAGGAACCAAAGGGTCACTACTGACGATGCGCTCCCCAAATTTCACCAGGCTCACTGTTCATGAACTCTTGGAAGTGCTTGCACAAAGGATAGTAACATCTCATCCTGTGTTCTTTGGAATCACAAAATCCCTGTCACACAAACGCTTGCCGGCCAATGGCTGCCGCTAGGCCCCAAGAAAATCAAAGCAAAAGCTTAGGGGCCCCAAACAGCCCAAGGGGGGCCTCAGATTCATGAAAATATACGGGTGCATGAAAATTCCAGCTCGAAATTCGGGTCTTTATACACATTCAAAAGAAAATCAATGCTCGTCATTATAAAAAGACACTTGTTTAAGTCATTTCACCTTATTGATATAACAATTAAGCGATGTAGCTTGTACAGCTTGCACCCAATGTATGCTGAGGCCCCCACTCGGTGGTGGTGGTGGGTCCACCACCACCTCTCCACCACCCCCGATACGCCAACACCGCTGTGCACCACCGGTGATTTTCCTTTTCGGGCTTTGGCTTTCCATGCCCGGTGACTGCCAGTTACGAGGTCGCACTCACCGCACGCAAAGTGCTTGCCACAAATGAACCGCAATACCTCGCGTATCTCATCAAGGAGCATGAACCATCATCACGCGAACTGCAGTCATCCTAGCAGCAGCAGCAGCGGCTTGTGAGTGGCTATCAAACAAAGAATGGTCACCGGCATCGCGCGCTTTCAGATGCGCTTCTACGGCCGTCTGGAACGCTCTTCCTTCCGATGTTAGGATGCCACTGGAGCTATGCACTCTTAAATCTAGATTGAAAACGAATTTCTTGGGAAATATTTTCGTGTTTAGTCTGTTTCCCTTCACCCCGTGCCTCCGATTAGCGTGGTTGCCTGCATACGGTGCGAAAGAAGTTCAACACGCGTAAATAAGTCTGCAATGACCAAAGTGTGAATCTCATGCATCGCATTTTTATTTGAAAACAACAACAACAAAATCTCTGAACTCAAACTATAACCTGATAACCACGTATCCTATTGCTAACCGACTGTGTCTCACACCTCAAATCCGTTGAAACAATATCTACGTCTTGAAATGCCTGTTCGGCTGCCAATTTCCCCGTACGGTTACACAAGAGCTGTGGAGAATGTGGAAGGTTTTACTGGTAGGAACCTCCTGGTTACACCAGCCCACAGGGGATTATTTTGTCCGTCCATCGTGCAGGGAGGGGCTGGGTGGGGAGGGAGGGGCTGGGTGGGGAGGGGAGGGTGGGGAGGGGCTGGGTGGGGAGGGGAGGGTGGGGAGGTGCTGGGTGGGGAGGGTGGAGAGGGGCTGGGTGGGGAGGGTGGGGAGGGGCTGGGTGGGGAGGGTGGGGCTGGGTGGGGGGTGGGAGGGGTGGGGCTGGGTGGGGAGGGGCTGGTTACCCCGTGGTGCCCTTATGAAACTCAACGTTTAACCTACTCACGCCGGCTTGTGCCCGCCCTCACAGTCGGCCATATTTGCGGAATACACCACGCCGTCGTTGACCCTGGCCATTGACCGAGCAACCCAACGTTCCTACCAGCTCCCTCCGCAGGAATGTGTTACAGTGTGAACCTTGGCCTGGCCACAGTTGAACAACGATCACTGTTCTGAGTTTAGTTGTTTCTTGGGTAAAGCTGCACGAGTACAGGATCGTGTAAACAGTGGTTACCTTCTCTTACAGACAGAACAAAAACCATACGTTTTGCTCTACGCATAGCGCATATACATATGAATATCATAATTTAACACGTAGGCTTTCGCGACTAATATCATCCATAAGAGGTTTTTTTGGGTTAGATCTGGCTGTCGCCTGATGAAGCTAGTTGTAATTACTGGCGAAACGTCGTACTCAAGTTGTAATTGTTGTGGCTTGGCTCTCCAACACACCGGTGTGCTGTACTAGTGACGAATTGGCCACGTTCTGTTTACGTGACAACCCTTACTAGTTGGCTGTGTCGGGTGGTGGCGGGTTTTAACGACACATTTATGCGATTTAACCCAAAAAAACCTCTTATTATGGACGAATATCATAATTTAACATCGGAAGATATATTGCGAGACATCGCATATCCGACCGTTACATTTCACCTTGACCAATTCACGGCCCACACCCATGATAGTATTTGTGCATGCTGTAGCAATCATGTTCTACACATGTTCTATACATTTTCACATATATTCAACCTCTTCACATATCCGTCAATAGGCCTCAGTCTCCAGCGGGATGCATATGCGACACATTGTACAATTCAGCCTGCAAAGCACCGTGGGAGAAATTCTCAGCACCAAGCATATGCCCTCCTCCCCTCTCTCTCTTGGCAAAATAGGCACTGCATCCATCATATGCGCCCGACTGGCCTAAACAATCAGTACTCCAAGTGCTGCCTTGTTACACTCTGTGTCAACAGATCAGTGTGATGACCGAGTATTCGGGTTGGCACCTCTGGTATCATGTGAAGATGAATATCTCCGTATACCGTAAGAGGGTGAATAACTGCACGTGCACGCGCTGTGGTTTATTGTTGTTGTTCTTACACAATTGAACAACCAAAAAAAGTTGAGACTTTTAATGTCCTGGGGAAGACTTGACAAGAGATGCCATACTCTTTGGTTCTTTCGGTAAAGTCACGTAGGTGAAAAAATTATAATAAAATGAAAATTACTACATTAAATCACGACGTTTCGGAGGCAACACAAGCTTCCGCCATCAGGTGGAACAGCCACAGCAAAATTACCTACTCACTACAATAATTTTGCTGTGGCTGTTGCACCTGATGACGGAAGCTTGTGTTGCCTCCGAAACGTCGTGATTTAATTTAGTAATTTTCATTTTATTATTTTTATTATTATTTATTATTTTTTCACCTACGTGACGAAAACTT